GAGTGGGTTTAGGGTTTAGGATTTAGGGTCTTTAGTGGCCCTAAAACACCTGACGTCTGATATTCGCGGTTGGACACAACATCATGCCTCAGTGTTTTTTTGTGTGCCGCCTTTCCCCAAGCCTTACAAGACTGAAGCCTCCACCTTCGTGCAGGAGCAGAGGAAACGCTGTGCTGATCATCAGCCAGGCTTTTGTTGCTACCCATCGAGCCACGCACTACGGGCTGGCATCAGCCGGTTGAGGGTTGAGGGGTCTTGCTGAGTGGGCTGCGTCTAAAAGCTGCAGAATGTTGGCAAACAGACCTGCATAGAGTTGGAGTTGCTTGGCCATCAAGAGAACTACACGCGCAAGTTGCCATCTGCATGCCAAGAGGTTCGCCGTTGTCATGGTACGTAACGAGGACGGCGGTGTAGTCATCCTGCGAGATTGAGTGCATGCGCAGCTTCCGACCATGTGCAATCGCGCCTCGAAGCGTGGGTCACACAGCTCCGTCAACCTGTCAGCTGATTGAATCGAGATGAAGATATATAGCCTCATACATATGTAACACAACATATGTTCTGCCAGACATATATAGTTTGCAAACGCAGAGAGATACATAAGTAAATGTATACATACATACATACATACATATATTGCATATATATATATATATATAGAGAGAGAGAGAGAGAGAGTCAGTTCTCTAAATAATCAGAGGGGCCCTACCCTAAAAGGGAATTTAGAAAACTGACAATAAACAACTGGCAGCCACAATTATGAAAAGATGGTCTGGGCTCTGAAGGGTCCGCTTACAAGGCGATGAGCCGTGCCTTGGCAAGGTGACGCTCAGAAACGCCTCAGCAACAAACAACCGCCCGCACTCGGACATCTTTGATCAGGGTTGGGCTTAGGGGTTTAGGGTTGGAGGGGAATTAGGGTTACAGGGTCTTAATCGGGGGTTTTGGAGGCACTTTGCTAGTAGGTCTTCGCCCATTTGGGGGCAGAGCAACCGGCTGGGCCCGGCACTTTGCAAGCGGTATCCGCCAGAAGGGGCTGTTCAGAGTTGGCCCCCGTGGCAACGCCATGCCTGCCTGAACAAGCAGCGGGTTGTCTGAGACACAGCTGGGGCTTTCCGAAAACAGGGGTACCCTTTTGGGGGTTCCTATAGTAAGGATTATGGGGGTACATTTTGGGTACCCCTAAGTTCGGAAATCCTCATCTGTGAATGCGCGGTATGGCAGAGCCAAGACTTGGCTCAGCGTCTGACATGCTTGCAGAAATGCCGCCTGCACAAATCACGCAGCGACATGTAGGTCATGCGACATGTCACGTGCACAAGTAGAGCAGCTCACAAGCATCAAAGTCCTGCCTCGCGGCTTTCAGCGGTCACATTGTAGAGATAGGTGAAGTACAGCTCTTCTGCATGTTCTGCCTGCTTCGTTCGGAGGTGTGCTGTCCAATGACAGGGATGACAGACAGAAGGGCCCACTTAGCTCGCCACAGCTGACTCGTTGCCTTCATAGACCACCTCCAGCTTGAACCGCTCAGCCCGAAAAAGCCCCCCAACACAAGAATGCGTGCGCTGGGGCGGCACTGCCTCCCAGTACGGGCCGAGATACTCCAGCACAGCCTTTCGTACAGGTTAGCACCCGCCGACTGGCTCTTGGGTACTAGTTCGTGTGCACGGACTACGCAGCTTGCACTTTCCGGCGCTCCTGTAGCCCCAGCGGCTCTGACGAAGCCGACAAGTCCCAGGCCTCGAGCGCAGCATAAAGGACAGCCAGCATGCTATTGGCGTATGCCACCTCAACGACTCTAACCCTAAACCCTCACCCCCCCCCACCCCCCCCCACCCCCCCCACAGAACTCCAGAAATGTGGAACATGGTTTAAGGATGACTACAGCTGGGATTCCCTTTAGTATACCTTTTTGGGGTATGGGGATAAGGATGTTCCAACTTCTTTGGGGCCCTAAACCCTAAACCCTTTTCCAAGAGACTTCGCCCGCCTCGATAATATCCCGGTGAAACCCTAAGCCCTAAATCCTAAATCCTAAACCCCCCCGGCCTCTGTGGCCAAGGGTTCGTCCGGCTCTGCATCAGTGGTCAACAGCTCGCTGGCCTGAGATTTGGGGTTTCCGAAAATCAGGATTAGGGTTTAGGGTTTGGGCCTTTTCTTGCTTTTCCTTTTTTTTTTTTGGGGGGGGGGGGGGGGGGGGGGGGGGGGGGGGGGGATCCTGAAATCAGGATTATGGTACGTTGGGTATATTCGGGGTACCCCTGTTTTGGGATATACTCATTTGAGGACGCGCGTCCAATCCCGAAAAGTCGAGAAACACCTGTTTTGGGATAACTTATCTACTATCTGCTTAAGAACCCCTAAAACACAGTACAGTACAAAGTCTTCCTTGTATGGGCAATGTGGGGATTGTTCTCTTTTGCAATTTTGGGAGGTCTTAAGCAAATAGTAGCCACTAGCAATATTCTCAATTATTTTCATCATGCCGGAAGGAGAAGGCCAACGACATCTGATGGCTAACAAAGGCCTTCCGTGGCAAGAACACGAGATCCTACTACCACTGCGGCCAAAAAGTCCTTTGCTGCTGCGACTGCTGCTTGCTACTTGCTGCTACTGCCACGGAGGAAAACCTATGCGGTACCTCTACTGTTGCTACAACTACTACTTTTCCACTACGGCCATGATGTTTGACTGCTCAATGCCACGGTTCAGAACCACATGGGGGTTTCCCAGAATAGGGGTACCTTCTTGGGTCCTTTGTAAGGGCATCCTACTATTTGGGAGTCTACTATTTGGGAGTCTAAACTTAGTTGCTGGGTTGAAAGCAGCCCCCAAAAGCGTAGACCTTCAGATCTAATGGGGGATTAGCGTATCCCAAAAAGTGTAAAGTGTACTGATTCAGCTGCTACGTAAATTCGTGGTCCCTTACACTCGCAAACCCGCAAATGTCAAAGCGCAGTCTTCACAAGGGAGCCGGCCGGTCGCCAATCGACTGGCTGTGACTTCCATGCCTGCTGAGAGGCTTGTACCCTAAACCCTAAAATTACCCTAAACCCTAAACCCTAAACCCTAACCCTAAAACCTAGACCCTGAACCCTTTTGCATCCGGGCACCCTGGGCCCTAAACCTAAACCCTAAACCCTAAACCCTAAACCCTAAACCCTAAACCCTAAACCCTAGACCCTAAACCCTAAACCCTAAACCCTAAACCCGCGTTGCACACCCTTTTGCCCGCATCTGAATCGCGACACAGCTGGCCTTTGCGGCCTGGGCCCACGAGAAGTGTCCCTGGCTCATGCCGAGGCCTCAGCATCGTGGGTTTAGGGTTTAGGGTTTGGGGTTTAGGGGTTAGGGTTTAGGGCTTAGGCTTGTTTTCTCCCGCATAGCTGGCGAACCGCAAGACAGGGTTTGAAGTTTGGTGTTCTGGAGGGGAGAAATCGTTCTGCATCAATAAATCCTTGAAGTAGTTGTTTAGGGTTGAGGGAGTTGGGTTTAGGGTGTAGGGTGACCATGGAAGATTTTAGGGGTTCAAGGAGTTTAGGGTGTGGGCTTCTAAAACGTCTAGAGTTTAGGGTTCAATGGGTTTTGGGTTTCGGGGGGTTTGGCAAGGGGATGAGGGGGCTTCGGGGGGTTTAGGGGGTTCAGGGTTAGGGTTTAGGGGGGTTTAGGGGGGTTTAGGGGTTTTCAGGTTTACTCAAGGGGTTGCAGGGGATCCAGACAGTCATCGGTGCATGGACCACCAATGGAGTAGTTTGGAAGAATTTGGACAACATGGCTCGTTTAGAGGGAACTTGAGGCTGAACCAGTTATCTACTGTTTCATCCCAAAAAGACAACAGAGAATAATCCCCATATTGCCGTTATAAGGAAGAATATTTTTTTTGGAGGGGTTCTTAAGCAAATAGTAGATATTGCAAGTCCCTATATCCAAAAGGCATTGTACATGCTCCTGCTGATTTGCTGATTTCCCAATGCCCCCTCCCCCACACCACTCCCCCCCACCCCCCCCCCCCCCCCCCCCACCCAAAAAAAAAAAAAATCAAACCTCATAATATACGCTTAGCAACTAACCCCCCCCCCCCCCCCCCCCCCAACTTCAAAGGCTCATTCATGTATGTAAGCTTAGCAACCAACTAGGCCCAGGCTGGTTGCCCCGGGTCGGTGGCTGGCTGCGCTACAACATGTTGGAGCTGCAGGTTTCGGGTTTAGGGTTTAGTGTTTAGGGTTTAGGGGTTTAAGGTTTCGGGCATGCGAGATGTCTTCAGCCGTCGATACTTCGCTTTTGCTGGCAATGGCAACGCATTCCGCTCTAGGGGGTTCATTGAGGTAGCTGGAGGTTTTGGGCAGCTGGCAGCTGTCGCGGGCTGCAGGTGACTAGGTGGGTGGGGAGATGCTGGAAGGGTACGAGGCTTTGTCCGGGGTGGTACTGCTTCATGAATCACTTGCACATTCGTGCCAACCAAAATCTGCAGCCCAGTCCAGGGTACAACTAAAAGCTAGGCTTAGCAAAGTGCATTCTGGCAATGGGTCTTCGTCTCTGGTGCAGGAGTGACCAGCCGACAGTTTTTCAGCGCGTCGCAAGCACTGCCACGAAAATTTGTATGGACGCAAGAGCAGGAAGTGTTGGTGGTCGACATGAAAGGTCAAAGACCACCCACTCCGGCTTCGAAAATTGGTCTGGCAGTTGTTGCATCCTGCTTCTCGCTTCTTTTTGTGAAGAAAAAGAATCCGTTTGACGCTAGCTGTAGAAAGGACAGGAACTGCAGTAAAGCTCTAAACCCTAAACCCTAAACCCTAAGCCCTAAACCCTAAACCCTAAACCCCAGGGTGCTGAAGATCAGGAGTGGAGCGGCAAGGCTCCCGCAAGGGAGGTGTGGTTAGCCGGATCTGGGCCACTAGTGGCCCAGGAAGGGGCTGTGAGGCGATGTGGGAGGCTTTGGGTCATCGCTTGGCGATGGTCAAAGCTGGTGTCGGGCGTCCCACGAACCTAGAAATCTTGCTTCATGCTGTTGCTGCTTCTCGTTCCGCGGCTCGTTTGGCCAACCTCTCTTTTTTCCTTGGCTTGCAGGATGAAGCGTGAGGTGTTGCATGGTTCCAGCAGCAGCCATGGTGCTCTGTCTCGCGCTTCTCCTTCTTGAATTTCGCCCACCTCTGCGACTCCTCGGAATGCGGCTGCTGCAGCTTGTTGCCGCACTTCCGGCCCTCTAGCAGTGATAAGGTGTGGATAAGGCCAGCACTCGCCAATTCAAAAGCCAAAGCGGGACGACGTTGTTCCTGAGCTGCGCATTTTGGAGCATGGCCCCCCCCCCTCCCGGAAAACTCCTGGGAGAAAACAAATCCTCGGAGAACTGCAAGCAGCAAAACAACTCCCGAACCAAGTAGCCACTTCTCCGGGATTCTGCGTGGGTTTTTCGGCGGTGGGCGCTTGCGGCTGATGGCGCTGCACGCCCTATACACAGTCCCCCACCTTGCGCGAGTCAATCGTTAATTGCGACACTGACTTCTTCAACGTTGACTTCGAGTACCTTTGCTACTTCTGTCTCAGCCAAGGCACATAGGGTCCGTGTGCCAACCTCTACATGACAGCATGACAGGCATTCCACAGTCCCATTCCCTGCTCTGCAGCTTTGCAGTGAGGAACGGCAAAAATGCTGGCCAGCTGCATGCATGGCACCACCCCTCTTTGCAGGAAAAAGACACATCCTGCAAAGGCGCCAGGGTTGCCGTCCCCGGGAAAAACCTAGGGTTTAAGGCTCCATTAAGGGTTTAAGTCCTCCACACCCACTTCGGCAGCCTTTGAGATCTCGATGCCTTGGCCCATCTGCCCTGTCTGAAGGACTGATTGAAGACACGTGCCCAGGCGCCTGCCTCGCTTCATAGTGGCCACTTTACCGCTCGGCAAAAAGACCACCTTCACCTTAGTCAATCTAAGGCCCCTAAACCCTAAACCCTAAACTAAACTCTAAACCCTAAACCCCAAGCCCTAAACCCTAATGCCACCGCAAATGCAAACGCCACACTTGTTTTCAGTCAAGCTGCCGGACCTGAGCTTGACTGCACGGTCACATTACATGCACATCAGCACCACATATTTTTCTGCACGTAAGCCAGACAAACTGAGAAACCGCGACCTGGTCGAACCATGAGGTATGAGCTGCGAATGCTTGTGCAGATTCCCAGACCCCTCGGAGGCTCCAAAAAGGTAGATCCCCTTAAGGGCTCCTAAAAATGGCCCCAACAGTAGTATAGCAAGATCCTCCCAGGTGTCTGGGAATTGCAGTCTAAACCAATTCCCCGCCTGCCATGTAATGCCGACCTCCGGAAGCACAAGAAGCGGTGAAGCGAAGCATTGACATGGGTGGGGTTTCCGAAAAAATATGGGGTGCAGGGGTTCCTGTTGACATAGGATCCTAGTATGCTTGGGGGTATAATAGGGGCACCCCTATATTTTTTTTGGAATCCCCAAGGTGAACTGGGGGTCGCGATCTGGGCCGCAAGCAAAGGGTCAGGGTCACGCTGTCACCTCGCAGCTGCTGCCATGTGCGCGAAAGACTCTTGCCCAGTGCTTCGCAGATGTCAGCAAGAACCCGAAAATATTTATAAAGCGGGCGGAGAGGGGGGCGGGTCAAACAACAAAGGAGGGGGTTACAAAGCTGGTGGGGGAGGGGGGGGGTAAAAGAAAGATGGGCCCAAAACATTTTGCCAGCAGAGTTGAGTCTTGTCGAGGACAAGCGCCCGTGCTCAAGGCACATGCTCCTGGCCCCTATTGGGCCAAAGCGCTATCAGTGAACAGCTTTCATTCACTTGCCCTACTTTGGTACTCAGTGGAATCTCTCCGGGCGAAGGCCGACTTCTCGAATTCTGTCCGCCAGGTGCCCATCCCGTCCACACTTCAGGCAGCACCAATGCGGCACCATAGGGAGAGAAAACCCAAGCCTTGACACTTGCTAAGCGTTGGCTGCTGGTTGCTGGCTCAAAGTCAGGAGATGAGTTGAAGCTTTGTCCTGCCGTTCCACAGAGAAGGCGCTCGTAACACTGAACGTCGCATTGGGGGGGGGCTTCTGCAGTGCTTCTCCCAGTCCTCGTCTCAACAAGATGTGGGGAGCTCAAGACCTGCAGATCTTCCACACCTTCACGAATACGCGGTCTAGGCCGCTTGCTTCGTCTGGCTTGCTTGTTGCTGTCTTCTGTTGCTGCACATGAGTTCTGGCCAGCACCTCTCCGCTATCTGCCGCGATCTCTCAGGACTCTTCCTAAGAGCTCCGCCCTCCCCTACCATCCCCCTCAGATTTCATTCGCAGCTCCAAGAACATGCAGGCCAAGCTGAAATTCGCCTATCACGACGCTGCCCGTCTCTTTGTCGATCTGATTTGAAAGCACCTGGGTTTAACAGTGGCCACACATCTGACTATGACTTTTGCGCCAGAGTTTGGGCTTCTGCTGGCAAGTGGCGCACATTTCTGAAATACCGATGTTGGTCAAACCCTCTGCTTCAGCAGGACCGTGCCGCTGTCGCCCAACAAACAAGGTGCGCTTCACCTGACCAAGAGCAAGCCTAACTTCATTCTGGGTTTAAGTACTTGAGACCACTTTCTGCATGCGTGTGCTTGGTGGCGCCTTCGTGTCCCGTGGCAGATGGAAGTAGACAGAACAGTAGCCTTCCTCAGCATCGTCTGCTGACATAACCCTGTGTTGAACCAGCTTAAGGCTTTTCTATAACTTCAGCTCTTGAGGCATCCGAGTGGCTTCGCAAAAGTCATCTCCTGAAGCTTTGTATGCGTATACAGCTATGTGTATATATATATACCCCATATATACAATGTATGTATATCTAAATGTAAATATTAAAATACATAAGTGGACAAAAAAACAATAAGTATATATACACATCATATGTACGTACAAATAAAATATGTACGTAACCCATCTTCGGCAGTGAGCTGCCTCTAGCTACACAGCAGCAGAATGGAGTGAAGCCGGCCTCGAGGATAGAAGTGAAAGCAGAAGCCTCCCAAGCCACAGGCCGAGAACTCCGGTGACGCCAGATATTCTCCCTGGTGTGGCAAGAGAGCACGTTTCGAGGGGCTTTTGGATTTAGGGTTTAGGGTTCAGGGTCGAACAAAAGGTGCAAAACACACACCGCCTTCTGGAAACGTGAGCGGACATCCTCCACGTTCTCAATCCTCTCACTGTGGGATTTACGAAAATGGGGGGGGGCCCCCAAAATGGTTTGTTAAATAGCAGGATCCCTTATAATGAGGTTCAGGGTTTAGGGTTTAGGGTACCCCAAGAAGGTACCCCTTCATATCGTAAGCCTCCATGTTGAGCCGCCACATGCCTTCCTCAGCACCCTTCTAAGCACTCTGCACTGCGATGCTGGGACTCCTCCAGTGGACGATCTCCACATTCCGATTCTCGATCACCTGTGCAGTTGCAGGCGGCTCAAACCTCAGATGATGGGACCCCTAAACCCTAAACCCCAAACCCTAAAGGGTTTAGGGTTTAGGGTTTAGGAACCCTCAACCCTAAGCCCTTAACCCTAAACCCGAAGCAGATCCAAACAGGGCCTGGATCCGTTTCTCCAGCTGCGACAGGTACTCCTGCAGAATCCCGGTGATACAACGTGGCTTCTGTAGCTAGGATGGCCCTTCGAACCCTCTGAAAAATACTCCTGAATATGATCCAATAAGGGAAAATACAAAATGTCCCAAGAGCCCTAAACCCTAAACCCCAAACCCTAAACCCTAAACCCTAAACCCAAAACCACATGTTCCAAGGGCCTACCGAGGTAGGGCTTTTCGTCACGTCCCCCCGGCACTCCTCGCAGCTGTTTCGCATGAAGAGCTCCCCAAACGTTGCAGACCTCTCTCTCCCTCTCAAGTGTTCTGAGCCCTAAACCCTAAACCCTAAACCCTAAACGGCCGCTTCCGGCTTCCAGCTACCAGTCATGAACCACAACACAGGAAGCAAAACCAACTACTTGGGGGGGGTAAGCATAAGCCGGGTTATGCGAGTACCCTCTTTGGGTGCTTCGGAAATTGGGGGGGGGGGGGGGTCCTTATTGCAAGGGAGTCTTTCTATTTGGGGGTCCATATTCCGGCTCCTGTTTTTTCGGCAACCCCCTAACGAGGCACAAGCTACTAAGTGCAAGTCGTTACAAGCTGTTCAAGTTGACTTCCAAGCAAGTTTTGCCACAGGCTTGCCCTGTCGCCCTAAACCCTAAACCCTTTTTTGCATCCGGGCTTGGTTCGTCGGCCGGGAAGCACGCCCTAACTGAATTAGACGGGGCCAGACTTGGAACTTTTGCACAAAAACATGCGAAGAACTAGAAACAAACTGATTAGCGAATTTACATTCTACGTTCCCTAAACCCTAAACCCTAAACCCTAAACCCTAAACCCTCCTCAAGCTGGGCCACATGGTGGCGATCTCATTCTGCTCCGCCTCCACAGCTCTGCGAAGCGCCTCCACCTTGTTGGGGTCTCAACCCTATAAACCCTACATAACCCTAGGGTTTAGGGTTTAAAGGGTGTAAAGGGTGTAAAGGGTGTAAAGGGTTTAAAGGGTTTAAAGGGTTTAAAGGGTTTAAAGGGTTTAAAGGGTTTAAAAGGGTTTAAAGGGTTTAAAGGGTTTAAAGGGTTTAAAGGGTTTAAAGGGTTTAAAGGGTTTAAAGGGTTTAAAGGGTTTAAAGGGTTTTAAAGGGTTTAAAGGGCTTAAAGGGTTTAAAGGGTTTGAAGGGTTTGAAGGGTTTGAAGGGTTTAGGGTTAGGGTTTAGGGTATATAACCCTATAAACCTTAATACCCTGCCTATAAACCCTACCAGAACCCTATAAACCTTATTACCCTACCGATAGACCCTACTATAACCCTATGTAACCCTAGATACCCGAAAATTGGGGACCCTAATAAATAAAGACCCCAGGGAGTAGGATTCCCTTTCAATAAGGACCCCAATAAGGTAAACCTAACTTCGGAAACCCCATATAACCCTAGAAACCCTATAACCCTACCTAAAAACCCGAATATAACCTTATATCACCCCAAAAAAACCCAGAAACCCTCAGCAGACGCTGCGCCTCCTGTTCGAGGCCCTCGAGAGTTAGGCTTCCCGATGGAGCGCCTTCATCCTCCCGAGCTGCCTCACCTCCAACGGAAGGAGTCTAGCACTGGTTCCGATTGGGGGTTGAGGGCATTTATGGTTTAGGGTTTAGGGCGCAATCCCGTCCTCGAACCCTTTAAGCCGGCTTTGATTGCACAAAAACCTTGCACGTGCCATGCAAATGATGGGCAAACACCTTCCTTTCTTGAAAGCTGAGGCACGTGGCCGCGACTTTAGCAACGTGCTCCCAGCTGTGCGAAAGGACTGGTTGCTGCGCATGGCACGAGGAACTTCCGTGGCCAAATCTGAGAAAAGTGTTGGGGAGCCGTATGGCATGGTGACTTCTGATTCTGATGACCGGCAGGGTATGCTCTACATTGGGTGTGCTTCAAGCACCGACATGGATTGACACATCGGCATGAAGAAGACTGAACTTCCTTGAGGCTCTGAGTTCGAGTCATCAAACTACATCTCTCACACTCACACCTCGACTCTTGAAGCTGCCAGCGCCCATCAAGTTCAAGTGCGCGCAAAACCGTGAGCAAGACGTGCTTGCGCTCAGCATTGATTCAGCTGTGGCTTGGGATGTTCCCCCCCTTCTACCAACGGTCCTTAACAGGGATTATGAACCCTAAACCCTAAACCCTAAACCCTAAACCTAAACCCTAAACCCTAAACCCCAAAAACTAAACCCTAAACCCTACACTACAGTACACCCCCCCCCCCCAGGAGAATCCCCATTAAGGAGCTGTGAGTATAAGGGGGGACATCCCAAGCTGCGGCTCTCATGTTGGCCTTCGGAGTTCTTGACAAGAGGGCCCACCTGGGAGCAGGTGCTTGAAAACGAAACCCTAAACCCTAAACCCTAAACCCTAGACCCTCGACCCTCGACCCTAAACCCTAAACCCTAAACCCCAAACCGGCCTCATCCAGGCCCTTGCCCTCACAGGTCTCCCCATTGACTGCCACCACCTCGTCTCCCTCCAGAACCCACATGCCTGGGAGCTGAAGGCAGAGGCTTGAGCTGAGCTTGAAGCTCTCCCGTGCCCGCATTAGGGTTCAGGGTTTAGGGTTCTGATCTGGAGGCCTTCATCGCCATCAACAATGACCTTGGCGGCCCGAGCAACGAGCACGCTCGGTGCGAGGCACGGCGCGAAAGCAAGATTGCAGCCTTTCTACTGGTACCAATACTGCTTGCACTTCATAAGCAGTGTTTCGCACACCCTATCTTTTGCCTCGTATCTGCCTGTGCACTGTGTCGCGGCCATTTTCCCGAGGCAACTGCTCGTCGGTTCAGCTGGTCGGTGTTGCCTTCCTCGCACTGCGGACTCACGGATCTGCAGATGCTCCCTAACAGGCTTCTCTTGCAAGCGCCAGCATTTTCACAATGCCATGGCTCTTTTTGGACGCATGTGAAACCTAGCGATTGCAGGATCCGGGCCGTTTTGGCCACGGCCCCTTTGCTTGGTCCTCTCCATCATTAACAGCAACGGCCAGCGCTGCAGAAAGAAGAGCTTCTCATGTCAAGGGCAGCTGGGCATCCAGCAGCACCTGCTCCCTGTCCCTTCGCACATTGCCTGACATCACTGGTCATGTGCTGACTTGTACATGTCTTTGTTAGGTTGTTCACTCTTATACTAACACTACTTAATAGGGATTATAGTACCCCGCCCCCCAATCATAATCCCTATTAAGGACAGTTTTACGAGAAGGGGGAAGATCCCAATGCCTTTGCATCAAAGCTTTGGTTGCCCTTCTGTGCATCAGGTGGCTGTATCTGGTGACGTCGGCCAGGGAAAGGCCGGAGCCACGCAGATCTGCAAAGCGGAAGATAGCTCTTTGCAGCTTGGCCTCGTCCACACTGCGAGCATTGCCTTAGGTGGTGCCAAGAAGCCTTTAAAACGATCTTCACTTGGTGGTTCATTACGGCACCTTAGAAGTGGGGTTAGAAGTGGTCAGCACCTTGCTTAGGTCCACATGTAATAGAAGTACTTTGTGAAGTCCCCCCTTATACTCACAGCCCTTTATCGGGATTATAATGGGGGGTACCATCATCCCTGGTAAGGATCTGTTAGTACAAGGGGAAACATCCACAAGAAGTACGCAGAGGTAAGGGCATGGCCCCAGCTTGTTTGCACTTGATGACGCTTAGTTGTCCAGTAACCTGGGGGAATTCAAGGTTGACCTTTCGGATTTTACAGGGATTAGAATACCCAAACCCTAAACCCTAAACCCTAAACCCTAAACCCTAAACTCTAAACCCTAAACCCTAAACCCTAAACCCTAAACCCTACACCCTAAACCCTACACAAGCAAGGTTAAAGGTTGCCTACTCTGCTGCTAAGGCTGTTGGCGGCTTGGGGGCGCAGTGAAGCTTCTTCCATGTTCGAGCTCTCGAGGTT